ATATTTTTTCCCATCCTAGCACCTCAAATCCACCATTTCTCTTAATAATGACAGTGCTGTAAGGACCCAAAGTGTGGGTGCATGTGCTGTTTCTTTCTATTGGAATGCCTTCAGTTCCAGACCTTTTAATGAAACATGAGTAGAGTGTATATTAAATTAAAAATTGTGATGGTGACTATAAATTGTATCAAACCAACCCTTTGCCAAAAAAAAAGCAGAAGTAAACAAAAAGTACAACTGTTTGAAACCACTGTAGATGCCAATGTAGTGGGATATTATAATCAAGATCCCAAAGAACTGGGATGCTCAGTTACAGGAGCTCACTAATGCTCAGTGCATTGGCCAGGAAACTGAGAACCTGAGCAGGCCTATTGACTAAAACCTGTGGCTACAAGAGCACCATAACTGGATTATGTGATGCACCAAAGGTAAAGGTTTCTGGCATATAACTCTGAAAAAAAAATCTCAGGAGTATGTGACTGGAGACGGGCGGCACTCACAAATACTGGAACTAATTGCAGGCAGTCACTGACTTCAGCAGATTAACTGAGAACTAATTACCCAAGTTAGATGTTTGGCAGAAATAAATGTAAGTTTTCTGTGGAAGAAGATAAGGTTACATTCAGAAACTTAAATTATCCTGCAGATTCTCACACATAATGTTGAGAATTGATTTTTTAAAAAGAAGATTTTTATGAGTAGGAGACCTTCATATATCCTGGATACAAAGTCTTTATACATTTTTGGGGGGACTTGTTTAGCACATAGTTCTAAGTGGATTGTGTTGTGGGATATATGTACAATGTGTACAGATGTATTGCTATGATTGGTGTAATAAAAAATGAATGGCCAATAGCTAGGTAGGAGGTTTAGGTGAGATTTCTGGGCAGAGAGAAAGAAACTGGGAGGAGAAATCTAGGCACGTGGTGATGCCGGTGACTCTGAAAAAGTTGGACTTAAACTACAGAGCAGAGGTAACTGAGCCACGTAGTAGAACCTAGGTTAATAGAAACAGGTTAATTTGAGTTATAAGAGCTAGTGGGACCAGCTTAAGCTAATGACCAAACTTTTATGGTTATTAAATTTCTCTATAGTTATTTGTGGGTTGGCGATACAAGAAAGTCCTTTGAGAAAGCTTGCTACAGGGATATTTTCATCAAATCCCTCCCTTCAAAGCCCAGGGAATCTTGTGAAAGAGGAGGCAGAAGGAATGTGACAGCCAGAGGGACTGGGGGACACCAGGAGAAGAAGGTCCTCTAAATCAACTGAGCAAAGCTCATATGAACTCACAGAGACTGAAGCAACATGCAGTGGGCCTAAACGGGCCTGCACCAGGTTCTCTGCATATATATTTTAGCTTTAAGTTAAGTATTTTTATGGGACTCCTGAGTGTGTGAACAAGTGGATCTCTGATTCTTATGCTTTCTCTTAGGGCTCTTCTTTTCCTTCTTTTGGTTTACCTTGTCTGACTTCGATGTGATGACTTTTGTTTTATCTTATTTTATTTTGTTACTATCTCTTAGAAGCCCATTTTTTTTTCTCTAATGAGAGGCAGTAAGGGAGTGGATCCTGATTAGAGAGGAAGTGGAAAAGGGCTGGGAAGAGTAGAGGGAGGGGAATTGTAATTAGAATATATTGTATATGGAAAAAATATTTTTAATAAAAGAGGAAAAAAAGAAAATTATATTAAGAATATATTTTTGTTAAGTTCCCATTCTTCACATGGTAAGCTCACAACCATCCTTAACTCTGGATCCTAGGGTCCAGGGGATCTGATGCGCTTATCTGAACTCCTTGGTAACCAGACATATATGTGGTACACAGACATGTAGGCAAAGCATAATACATAATACATATAATACATATATATATAATGTTTACATATACATATATATATATTTAAATACTTTTCAAAAGTTAAGTAAATGGTTTTTATTTATTTTTGGTATGGTTATAAATATCTTCTTCCCATTTGTGGTATTTTTCTTTACAGTCTTAGCAAAATAAAATTTTGTAGTTTCAGTTTAAGTAAAAATATCAACCCTTTTCTTTCCTGATTATTGCTTGTGCCTTTTAAAACTTAATTTTAAAGATTTCTTTTATTTTGAAGTTAAGGGTATGTGTGTGTCTGGTTGTGGGTGTAGACATGTGAGCCAGTTGCCTGACGCATTGGGTCTCCTAGAACTGGAGTTACATGGGTGCTGGGAATCCTAGAGTCCTAACTACTGGACCAACTCTCCAGTCCTGTTTGTGTTTTAAGGAGTCCTCTAACTTGATATCATGAATGTATTTTCCTTCTTCTGTAGATCTGGGACTTGAGAGGACTCATGGTGTGTAACAGGCAAACCTTCTACGACTGGGCTGCTTCTCCAGCCTTCTGTTTATGTCTAGTGTAACAATTTTTCATTTCATATTTGTGTTTTCTTTTTTAAGATTTATTTATTTATTTTATGTATATGAGGGCTCTGTCCGCATGAATGCCTGCAGGCCAGAACAGGGCATTGGATCCCATTATAGGTGGTTGTGAACCACCATGTGGGTGCTGGAAATTAATCTCAGGTCCTGTGGAAGAGCAAGTGCTCTTAACCGCTGAGCCATCTCTTCAGCCCTCATATTTGTTTTCAATCCACCAGGAATTAGCTTCAGGGATTGGTGGAATAGGAGTTTGGACTATTGGTTTCTGCGTGCCATTTGTCTCAGCACTGGTTGTAGGTGATGCCCTCTTGCTGGTTTCAGTTTCCTTCGCCTAGCTTGTGTCTGGCAGATAATAGACTCAGTAAAAGATTTGAATAAAGCACTTGTCTGAAACTTTCTGTAGGTTTCTTATGGTTTTCACAGCATAGTTTAACTTACTGATTGATTTTAAAATTTCTGTTGCTGCATTCCCTATGTTCTCTCACTTACTATTTTATTATTATCTGTTTTGAATTTTCTCTACTGTATCTTTACAGTCATGAGACATGTTTGTAACATTTTATTGATCTCCTGGTCTTGGACTGTGTTTCTTAACCCCTAAAAGAATATTGGAATCATCTGGATCCATGTAAAATGCTGAGTGTCATTTGAACTGGCTCAGTCCAGTTACATTGGTAATTTTTATTTATACACAAATATTTACAATAGCCATAGGTAACAGCAAACTCAGATAACCATCAATAGATGAAGAGAGAAACAAGGTTGTGGTGTGTACAGATAATGGGATGAAAGTCAGGCATAAAAAGATCAACATACTCATACATGCAGCAACATGGGTGAACCTTGAGAACAAGCTATGAAATGAAAGGTCTGGAGCCATAGGTCACACACTGTATTAGTACTTTTATATGAAATATTCAGAATAATCAATTCTGTAAAGACAAAGCTAATTATTGATTGCCAAGGAATTGGTGGATCTGGAGATTTAAGGTCATACTATGTTCCGAGGTGATAAAACGTTTTAAGGGTTGATGGCAAGTTGCACTAAGTTTCACAGCCAATCATATATTTGAGTATGATTAGTTACATATTATATGAATTTCACTTAAAGTGTACATAAACCTAACCTGATTAATTATTTAAAAATTGTGTTACATTGTAGTTTTATTTATGGTTTTTTTTGTTTTTTTGAGACAGGGTTATTTATATTTTTAATGTGTGTGTGTGTGTGTGTGTGTGTATAACATGCCTGTGCATATGATAAAAGAGGATATCAAGTGTCCTTTTTTCTCACTTTCTGCCTGGAGACTAACCCTAAAGCTTATTAAACCTAAAACCCACCATTTGACTAGGTTGGCTTGGCTGGTGAACTCCAGGGATCCAGTTACCTCTGTCCCCCAGCATTGGGGTTGCAGGCACTCATGGTTATGCCTGGATCTTCAGTGTTGAAACATTTCTTTTGGTTGCATCGTTGTTGTTGTGAATATTTTGCAGATTTTGGTAATTATTAAATGTTAAACTTGAAATTTAATGAAAATACATCTTCTAATGACAGGAAATTTTAGACTCAGTTTAATTCATGTATCTGTGGGTGAATGTAACAGGATTCAATGTTCTATTGCTCTAGAATTAATATAAAATTTTTTGATTAGACTTAAGTGCTGAAAAAGCTTTTAGTAAGTAGCTGGTGCGGGAAGGACAGAGCAGTGTCACTCAGTTCTTCTGCCAAAAAGCACAATGTAACTATTTTTAATTTACTTTTAAATAATTAAAATACTTCTAATGATCCATAAGCTGACACCTCAGAGTTCCCTTCAGTATTTTTGAGTAAAATTGAAGAATTGGAAAATAGTTGACTTGCATGAAAATGTGTTAGTTATTAGCATTATCTACACGCCTGTCTCCAGTTGGCTACATTTGGTGCCTCTGAGGTTTTAACCTGATAGGAAGAAAATTAACATATAAAAAGATGAGTTCCCAGTACATAAGCAAAGGTTTTTAAAATAACTTCATGTAAAAGATGAAAATCTTCAGATGTCCTGAGACTGTACTTGCCATGTATCATAAGAAGCCTTGTGTGCCTACGTTTTCTGTAACGTGATCTCAGTCCCTGTCATGCAACAAGCCAAATCAGATTGAATTAATAAATCCATCTTTAATAAGCAGGGCAGAGCAAAGCAACTCCCAGGTGTCTCTTGGGTAGGCAGGAGAGAGCATATGGCAGATCTCCAGGTCTTAAATACCCTGTAGGCGTGGTCTTCCGCAGCTCCTGGGGAGAAGCTGAGCCTTGGCAGGCTTTCTGAGGGCTGGGGTCTGGGATGGGAGGAGTGAGGCTCAGTTCCAGTTGAACATTTGGGTGGGGTTCGGAATGGAGCAGAGTGAGGAGCCAAGATCCCCAGCACCTATGTACTGTAAATAATAGGGTTGGTTCACAAAGGAAAAAAAAAAAAGTGAACCTAAAGGCCTTTCTTCCAATTAAAAACCAAAAAATTGTGTCTAAACTCAGTGTAGAATTCCTAAAAATGCACAAAGCTTGCTAGGAGTGTTTGCTCCTCTGATAATTCCCTATCTAAAATTCTCCTCAGGTCAATGAATGGTCACTGAAGATCAGAAAGGAGATGAGAGTTGTTGACAGGCAAATACGAGGTAAATCACTGCTTATGTTTCCTTTTCTATACGCTAATGCTCTTCATTTCAGTGCATTATAAGATACAGTTTACTCCTAAATTATGTGTAGATATTCTCAATCTTCTGCTTTCTAGTTCTATATTTAGTATAGAAAGGGTAATGATTGAAATAAACTATATAGTAAGAGCAAAAGAAAGCCCTCGATGCTTGCAAACAAAAGTCTTTAATGAGTTTTAATTAAATAAATTGTGCATAAGAAAACAATGCAATTTCAGTATCTCTACTCTCTGCATATTTCAACATAACTTTAAATTGGGAACAATGCACTTCTAAATAAAAGTTACTTGAAGTTAAGGTGAGTGGCCAAGAAATGGTAATGTTTAAACTAAGTTTTTTTTAAGTTTTATATATTTTGACAATTTGATACATATAAGCAATGTATATTGATTATACCCATCCCAGATCCCCCTCCCATTCCCCTCAGGCAGCCCATGATATCTTCCTCTACTTCATATTCATGTTCACACCCCCACATCCATTGTAATCCATGGAGTCCAGTTAGGACAGTCTGGTGGAGTGCTGACGGGCTTTGCTGGCTTGACCTTGTGCAGGTCTGTGTAGGCCTCCACAGCTGCAGTGAGTTTATGTGTGCGGTGGCCATATCCTGTCAGAAGACAACACTTCACAGTACTCTTCCACATGCGTCCATTCTTTCCACCCCTTCTGAGATGGTTCCTGAGCCTTGGATTGGATGCTGGTATAGCTATCCCATTTAGGACTGAACACTCAGTCTTTTATTCTCAGCACACTGACTAGTTTTCAGTCCCAAGTTATAAGGCCCAGGTAGAGGACAGCATTTATCAACATGATCATTTAGCAAGCTGTCAGTAGGAGGCTACACTCTAGGGCGTAGACATCCTAAGTCATGGACCTTTGACAGAGTTTAAAGTATCAGATACGAATTTCCTCCTATGAATCAGATGTCAAAAGTATCCTTCGTGCCACTGTTAAACTAGTGACTGTGTCAGTGTTGTAGTATGCAGGATCTTCTGCTGGATAATGATATTGGTGGCTTCCTTCCCACCCCACAGTAGCCTGTTTAGCACTTTCTAGCACTTGAAGCTAACCAGTAGGGAGAAAATTTTCAGGTCAATTCCAGCTTGATTCCACTATGTCTTGTAACCAAAATATGTGTCATGTTTCAGCAGTAAGGTCTTTCCATCTAGTTCTAGCAGGCAGCCAAAAGGTAGCCTCTGTTATCTTTAGTACCTCTGGGGTCCTCCTGTTACCAAAAGCAAGCCTAGCACTGACATTTTTAATTCCTAACTCATGTCTTCTGGGAGAAGTATTGTTCATCCGTGCCTTCTATCTGCATTTAAAAGCGTTAAAATTTGTTGCTGTGTTTTAAGACCGGGGAGGGAGGGTTTTTCTCTGTATGGTCCTGGCTGGCCTTGAACTCACAGAGCTGTCTGCCTCTGCCTTCCAAGACTTAGGATAAAAGGCATGCGCCACCACACCCTGCCTGATTAGCTTACAAAGTAGTGGGTTTCTAAAGGTGTTTAGAGCCTTAGTTTAGTCTAACCCTGCACTCTACTTCTCCTTGATTCTACTCTATCCTTTCTTAAGCCTCCAATATTCCCCTGCCTCTACTTTTATACAATAGGGGTTCTACTATCCTCTTCCTCCTTACAGGTTTTTAAAAACACCTTCATGAATAGAAAAGATTGAAACCAGGAAAGTGTTCCAGTATTACACTATCAAAACTTTAAAAAAGAATTAGAGATGAGAATTCTATTCAGCTGTGATAATTGATTTTAGTCTTCCACTTCTACTTCAGTTGTCAATGAAAGTTTGAACTTTCAAGGCAACTCTGAAACAGCCACCTTCCACACTGGACAGGTGACTGTGTATATTGGGAAAAGAAACAGAAAGAGAACCCTCATAGTTCTGTCTTTCTGTCTAGAGATACTTTCCTGAATGTGGCACATGGAAAGGATTCCAGAAAGAACATGGTAGTCTCTTCGAGTTGAAGACTTGGAGATCAGGGGTGAGCAAGGCTAAAATACGTGGTGCAGAGTAACAGAGAAAAGGAATATAACCAAGGAAAGAACTCCAGATATCTCCATGTGATCTGTGTCATAGCTGAACACTGACCTGTGCATACTTAGAGTGGTATTTGCAGAGGCTGGACAAAGAATGATTAATGGGAACCAAACAACTACCAGGAATTTTTAAGCCAACAGGGTTGGGAGCAAAGACACTAAAGAGATGTTGTTTAAATACTTATATATAGACTGGAGAAGGACCACATTTAGTATTAAGGTAAGAATAAATGCACCAACTGAGGGAAGCTTATGAACAGTTACTTAGCTCCAGTCCAAATAAAACGTAGTGCTCTTTAAAGGACTGCAGAATTATGGCATCCAGCACTGAGGCATTTTCAGTGACAGGAATACAGTGAAAAGGCCACTTCAGGAGAGTAGAAAAATGGCCCATATGAGTAAAATAAATAAGGTAGACAATAAAAATAGATCAAAAAAGCAATTAACTATAAAAGGATAGGAAATATACTGAAGAATTTAAAACAAAGCCATCAACAAAATGACCTAACTAGAAGATGTGGAAAAGAAATTGTAATTCGTAAGATAAAGGAAAATGTCACCAAATGGACACAGCAGCAGATTGGACTCTATAAAAATGAGACCAAAGAAATTGAAGATTGCAAACTGTGCTACCAAATAAATAAATAAATAACAAAGAGAAAGAAAGAAAGGAAAGGAAAAGACAACAAAACCAATAGAACTCCTGTGACCTGTGTCTACATAGTGAGTTCTAGAACAGCCAGGGCTATGTAGAAAGGCCTTGTCTCAAACAGCAACAACAAAAATAAAAATAAGTACCCTGTACAATGGGAGAAAATATTTGTAAGTCATATATCCCTAAGAGCACACAGAGAACTCCTGAAACTATTCAGAAATAGAAAAAGTCCTTGAAGAGACATTTCTCCAAGGAGACTATACCAGTGAGAAACCATTCAAGATATTCATCCTTAAGGAACTGTAAGGCAACCCCAGTGGATACTACTGCATACCTAACGGGTAACTGTTATCAAAACGAAACAAGAACCCCAAACCACAAGATAGCAAGTGTTGATTGGCAAGAATTTGGTGAAATTAGAAGTCTTTGTGTACCACGAATAGGAACACAGAACAAGTGTAACCACTTTGGACAACAGAGAGTAGCTCCTGAGGAAATTAAAAATAGGATTATCAGGTCTGGCATCAAGGTGGCATCCACCTTTAACCCAAGCACTTAGGATCTACAGGAGCCTATTTAGAGAGTTCAGAATAGATAGCCAGGGCTACTTAGAGAGACCCTGTCTCCCCCAACCCTCCCAAAAAAGAATTACCATATGATCCAACAATTCTCCTTTAGGTATATATACAAACAACTGAAGGCCAGGTCTTGAAGAGATATTTGTAAATAAATATCCCTGACAGAATTAGTCATACTAGTTGAAGTTTTTTATAAGATTTAAAAAAAAATAAGTATGTTATATAACAGAAAATAGTTACATGCTATATTGTGGATAAAGAGAACATATGCTAAGAAAAATCAAAAAAGTACTAATGTTGCTCGATTCCACATGCACAAGGTAGCTAAAAATAATCACTTTATAAGACAGTAGAATGCTACTTGCCAGGGACTGGGGAGAGGGGAGAATGTAGGATTTCTGGTAATAGATGTTTTTAGACTTAGACTTTGTGTCCTAAGGATGGAAGGTAGTGATGGTTGTACAGCCTTATGAATGTGCTTATACTATTTTGTTGAGAGCTGAGCTGATGAGCTGAGGCTTTCCCAGAGGCCCTGATAGAGTGAAAAAGGAACACAGCTCCTTTTCAAAACCAGGAACGTGCTTGGTCCAGCCAATAATAGCCTGGGGCCAGGGCCTTTAGGAGATTTTTTTCCCTGAGACCCTGATGTATAGAGAGGAAAGTAGCTACTTCTCTAAAACCAGGAAGTGGCAGAGCTGATAATGGCTTGGCTGGGGCCTTGGGGGACCTTGGTTTGAGATCTTGAGGACCTAGTTCTTCCCACAGCAAGGGGCTATAGTTATCATTCCCAAGGCCAGTGTGTACTCTGTCTGTAATGTTCTTAAGATACCCCATGTTCCCTTTGTCTAACATTGTCTGATTAGCTTCTTGCTGACTATTCCCACTGTATGGTAGTTCTGCTGACTCTGTTCCACTTCTTTCCTAAAAACAATACGTAAGATGCTGTTCCTCAAGCTTGCTTAGCTTAAGACATAGCTTGTGCAAGACATCCTGATCACAAACTTTATTATCTTCTCTGTCTTCGTCTTTATCTTCAGATCTCCCGGTCTTCCAGATCATTATTTAATTGTACAATTGAGAATGGTTAAGATGGTAAATAATGTTAACGTGTATGTTGTCAAGTTTTTAAAGTTCAAAAGTTTTTACTTGTTATAAAGCATATACAGACTTGTCTAAATGCTAGTTGATGCTGATACAGTGCTTTTGTGTGTTCTAATTTTCTTTATATTGTAGATTTTTGTAACAATTACTGTTCAGAGATTGCATTCTCATACTTGTAAGAAAGCTGCAGACTAATTGTCAGAATTAGCTCTTGGATGCATGCATACTGCATTAAGCTCCTTAGTATAGATAGGTACCAAGCAATGTAAGAGTGGACTCACAAAAGGTTTTTAAAAAGTTTTTTAGGTACAATAGGATTATACTACTGTTTATTGTCAAACTGTAGTCTTGTTCCAGGAAATAATAAATAGCCATACATTATTTTTATTTCATTTATATCATGTGATAATTTTCTTCTTACAGATATATTTACATTATAATAAAAAGTTTGAGTGCTGCCAAGCCTGATTTGTCCTCCCCCCTTGTGTATGTGTGTCTGTATTATGTATGTTTGCATACATGTATGTAGGTGGCCGACGACTCCAAAAGAGGGTATCAGATTCCTTGGAGTTGAAGTTAGAGGCATTCTGAGAGCCCCACTATGGGTCCTGGGGTCTGAACTCTGTTTTCACAATTGAGAAGCAAGTACTTAAACTGCAGAAACATCTCTTCAGCCCCAACTCATGGTTTTTAATGTTCTATTCTAAATTTAGATATCCAAAGAGAAGAAGAAAAAGTAAAACGGTCTGTGAAAGATGCAGCCAAGAAGGGCCAGAAGGATGTCTGTGTGGTTCTGGCCAAGGAGATGATCAGGTCAAGGAAGGCTGTGAGCAAACTCTATGCATCCAAAGCACACATGAACTCTGTGCTCATGGGGATGAAGAACCAGCTTGGTAAGGCCCAGGTACCTTACAGTTCCCAGTAATGCTGTTGTCGTTGTTACTGTCAGCACTGATTTCCTTGCATAGGAAGAATAGGTTCAAGTCTGGTTTTTACTTTTTACATTGTCCTAACTAGGTACTGTATAAATGTAAAATATAATTGTCACTATTGATTTGTTACTTATTTTTTGCCAGTGTTTTTGAAATAGTGAGACTCTACATTGATGTCTTTGTTTAGAAGTTAGAATATATTGAATGTATATGTTCAGCTGCAGTCTATACTACACCTGACACTTGAATGCTCTTTATAAAATGAACATGGCTCTTGAGTCATCTGTTTAAAATGCCGTGCCTTCTCACTGCATTTGGTTAAAGTCCACATTCTCAGTTTGATCTCGGAGGTCCTATGTGCTCTGACCTCATCTCCTTGTCTCCTTCTTCTCTCCATCCTTCTGTACTGCTCTTTCTCTTCCTGGACCGGGAGCAGCTTATTCTTATCTTAGAGCCTTTCCATTTGGAGATGTCTCTGCACGTACACACTGGTCGTTGTCCTACAGGTCTCAGTTCAGTGTTAGGCACACAGTGAAGCCTTTTCTAAAGCTTCTCTCAGCATCACATCATGACAGTGTCTTTAATTTCTTTATAATTCTTTTCACCTTTTTTTTTTCTTTTGAGACAGGGTTTCTCCTTGTAATAGCCCTGGCTCTCCTGGAACTTACTATGTAGACCAGGCTGGCTCAAACTCACAGAGATCCACCTGCCTCTGCCTAAGTACTGGGATTGAAGGCTTGTGCCTCCAAGCATGGCTTCTTCTAAGTACTAATTTCTAATGAAATTAACTTGTTTGATATATCCCTGAGCTATATCTCCAGTTCTTTTCTGTTCACTTAAATTTCTTGAGTCTCAGTGTGTAGCCCTAACACATAGATCCCTTTGCCTCTGCTTCCTCAGTGCTGGATTAAAAGTGTGCACTACATGGCCAGCATTGATTTGTTCTTAATGTAGATATTGTGTCCCCTTATTAGAGCTAGAATCCTGGTCTGTCTAGCCCATGGGTATATCTCCAGCTTAGAAAAGAGTGTGTGGTCATGGAATATCTATGAAGAACACTCCCACAACATAATCAAGTGCTATTGATTGTTTCTCTGTGTATATAGTTGCTTTTCATATATATTCTTAATATTAAACATGTAGCAGAATTCTTTATTCATTATTTCAATTTTTAGATGCTTTTATTATGTATTGTTAAAAGATTTATTTATTTAGTTTTCTTTTATGTTTATAAGTGTTTTGCCTGCATGTATGTCTGTGTACCATGTGTGTGCAGTACCTGCAGAAGAGGGAATCAGATCCAGTGGAACTGGAATTATATATGATTGTTAGCGGCCATGTATGTACTGAGAATTGAGCCCAGGTCCTCTAGAATGGCAGCCGGTGCCCTTAATCACTAAGCCATATATCCATCCCTTTTATCTTATTTTTATTTATGTGTATTATTGTATATGTCTATGCACATGCTCATGGGTGCTTGCAAAGGATCTCCCTGGAGCTGGAGTTACAGATGGTTGTCAGCCAACTGATAAAGATAATGGAAACTGAGGTCCTGTCTTTTGCAAGAGCAGCAGATGCTCTTAACCACTGAATGAACCATCTCTATAGCTGTATTATTTATTTTTTTCCAGCTAGTTTTTATAGCTTTTTCCCCCTTTTCTTTTTTCTTCCTCCTTTCCACATCCCAGTTTTGATCTTAGAACTTCAGATCTCAGGAAGCCCCCTCAGCACATGTAGACAACGTGATATCTCAATCTAGATCCCTTATCTAGCAGATGTCTGGGTCTATGTATTCTGTACTTACTCTTTTTCCAGGTCAAACTTGCAGAACTCATCCAGGTTCAGGCACCTTCACTGCCTATTATTGTAATGCTTCTTAAACACCTTGGCTGCTTATTTTTAGGCATTTGTAAGATTTTTCAACAATGATGTGCTATTCCCGTATTTACTGAAGGTTGCAGTCTTGAACAGTACCTTTGGAACCTCAGTCCCTTCTTTGACTTTTGTTATGTCAAAACTCACTAGACTTATTATGGAATACATCATTTTGTGTGTGTTGTGGGGGGAGCTCTTGTTAGTGGTGGTTGTTTTTGAGACAGTCTTATCTTATACCTTAGCCAAGCCTGGAAATTATGATTTTTCTGCCTCATTCTCCTTGACTATATTTCTTTTGTTTCATGTCAGTACATTTGCTTCTGGTTTTCAAGTGTTTTTTTTTTTGTTTGTTTGGTTTTTTTTGGCCTATTGTGCCCACAAATTGTTGTTATTTTAGAAATTCTAATACTTAGCAGCTATCAGACTCTCATACTTAGAAATAGCATATGAAGCTTTTTACTTTGAGTTTTGACTCAAGAAATTATATTCTGCATTTGGTTCTACTTTAGGAATCTATACGAGTAGATCAAACATAGAAAATAAATTCACAAAAGCACCAGAAGAAAATATGTTTAAAACACAAGAAACTGAAATGAAAAAAATCTTTTCAGGTCAAATATAAAATCTTATAAAGAAAAAGGTTGATAATGAACAGGTTAAAAAGTATTCCCCATAAATCCAAAAGAAAAAGTGACTAAGCAATTGTATTAAGCAAAAAATTGATAGCTTAATCAAAAGCCTTTTGAAAGCCATTTTAAAAAATTATACAAAGACAAAGGAGAGTAAATGGATATATAAAAATTCTCAATCCCAATAAGAATTCAAACTATGCTATTTTGTTACAGAATCTTATGTAGCCCAAGCTGGCCTTGAACAACCTATGTAGAAGATGACTTGGTACCTCTATTCTTCCTGTCTCTACTTCCTCTCAAGTACTAGGGTCAGAAAACATGGGTCTCTGGACCTGGCTTTTTGCTGCTGGGAAATTGAACCCAGAGTTTCATTCATCCTCAGCAAATACCATACCAACTGATCTGCATCCCTAACCCCCAAATGTACTTTGGAATGAGATGATCACATTCTGTCAGAGGGTAAAGTATAGGTTTTGGGGGGTGTAAGATGGCTCTCAGCATAAAGATACTTGCTGCCAAGCCTGACAACGCAAGTTTGATCTCCAGGACCAGGACCCACGGTGGAAGGAGACAACTGACTCCTGCAGTTATCCTTCAGAGTTTGTACACACACACACACACACACACACACACACACACACACACACACACACCATGGCATACTTGCCCCTGCCAATAAAGATTTGGAATTGGTAATTGAATATGTTGGTACAGTGCCTATAATCTCAGTACTTGGGAGGTAGAAGCAAATCAGTGAGTTTAAGGCCAGCTATTTTCTTTGGAGCTCACTATGTAGACTAGGCTTGCCTCAAACTCACAGGAATCTGCCTGTGTCTGCTTCCCAAGTGCTGGAATCAAATGCATTTACCATCATTCCCAGCAGTCAGCCATTTTCTTCTAGAAGACTTTCCAAAGTAGTCAAGTAATATATTCTTTTTTGTGTAACTTTTCTTTGAGAATTAACAAATTTTAAGTCATCTTTTATATTTTTTATAAACCTGACATATGTACCTGTAGGTCATGTTATAGTCATTTGCTTTCCTGAGATTTTAACTTCCTTATTTGCATTTCTGACTTGGTGTTGAATTTAATCATGGCAGCGTAATGTGAAAAGAGCAAGTACAGGTCAGACGTAACAGAGCATACCTTTAATCCTGCACTTCAGAGGCAGAGGCAGGTGAATCTCAGTTAGAATTGGAGGCCTCCTGGTCTATGTAGCCAGTTCCAGGACAGCCAAGGCTACATAGTTAGACCCTATTTCAAAATAATATAAAAAAAATGAAGTGTTAATCAGAGGTTCTCTCCTGCCTACCAGTTCCCAAACAACGACACAGAGGCTCATTATTGCTTATAAATGCTTGGCCAGTGGCTCAGGCTTGTTACTAGCTAGCTCTTAAATTTAAAATAACCCATATTTTTTTAAACTGTGCTTTGCCATATGGTTTGTGGCTTACCACCTCATTTTCTACATGTCTTGCTTCCTCAGCTTCCTTCTTTCTTCTCCTGTATCTCTGCTTGGATTTCCCGCCTAGCTCTATCCTGCTTTGCCATAGGTTAAAGAAACTTTATTTATATTTATATGCAACACATATTCACAGTGTACAGAAAGATCATCCCACAGCATTTTTTTTTCGTTAGACCAAAAGGGGGAAATACTGAGGAAAACCCTTCTGTATGCCATGAACATATGTTGCTCTCATTGGTTTTAATAAAAGCTATAGCCAGGCAGAATAAGGCTAGGAGGAAAAGTCAAACTGAGTAGAGAAGAGAGGGCGAAGTTGGGGTTGACGCAAGCCAGCTGCCCAAGAAACAAGATGCCAAAAGACTGGTAAAAGCCATGGCCATGTGGCAATACATAGATTAATAGATTAATAGAAATAGGTTATTTCAAATGTAAGAGCTACTTAGTAATAAACCTAAACTATAGGCCAAGTAGTTTTTAATTAATATTGAGCCTCTGAGTGATTATTTAGAAGTGGCGGCAGGACAGGATGGGACAAAGAAACTTCTGTTTACAGTGGAGTCCAAACTACTGTGTAAATGTTCCTATTACTTGGGAGGCAGAGGCAGGAAGATCTCTGTGACTTTGAGGCCAGCCTGGTCTCAGAGTCCCAGGACAGCTAGGAGTACATAGAGAGACCCTGTCTCAAGTAAATAAATAAACAAGCAAACACATAAATAAATAGAAAAGAAATAGGTGAGGAGTGGGAGGCAGAGTGGGGAGAGATGGCTCAGGCTGGTTAAGTGTGGGCTCCATCTGTCCCTTGCTCAGTCTTTTCATCTAGATGGACTGAAAAGCAAAATTCATTCTTTCTTCCTTCCTTTCTTTTTCTATTTCCTCCTTTCCTTTTATGCATAAATGTTTTGCCTGCCTGTATGTATTTGTGTGCACCAAGGCATGCCTGGTGCCATGGGGATCAGAGGAGAGTATCTGATCCCTTAGAACTAGAGTTG